AAAAAAAAAAAAGAAAAAGGAATAGAAGCCAGGCATAGTGGCACACCCCTTTAATCCCAGTGCAGAGGCAGGCAGATTTCCGGGAGTTTGAGGCCAGATTGGTCTGCATAGTGAGTTCCAGGACACCCAGAACTACACAGTGAGAACCTGGAGAAAGAGAAGGCGGAGGGAGGGAGGGAGAGAGGGGAGGAGGGAGGAAAAAGGTGGGGAGAGAGAAATAGGAAAGTGAAAAGACACAGAAATATGCTTACTTGTTTTTTCCAAGACAGGGTTTCTCTGTGTAGTCCTGGCCAACCAGGCTGGCCTCGAACTCAGAGATCTTCTACCTCAGCCTCCCAAGTGCTGGGATTAAAGGTGTGACTACCTGGAAAAGCTTAATACTTTCAAAATCCATAAGCTAGCTGGATGTTGAAGGAAGGACATGCTTCTAATAATCACATCACTTGGGAGGTGAATTGGAACGGTCCAGGAGTTCAGGGGCAGTCTTAGCTATACGACTTTGAAAACAAAGCAACGCCTGAAACTTCTCTAGGATGAAACTGTCAATAAGCACTTTTATTTTTTATTTGTTTGGTTTTTTTAAGACAGGGTTTCTCTGTGTAGCTTTGGAGCCTGTCCTGGAACTCATTCTGTAGCCCAGGCTGGTCCAATAAGCTCTTTTAAATATGACCTTAAAATGTAAAGTTAATCTTCTCAGTCAATGCGAAGTTTAGAAAGACAGTATTAATTGCCTTCTGATGTAGCAAAAGAAAAATGAATTTTTTTTTTATTCAAGACAGGGCTTCTCTGTGTAGCTTTGGAGCTGAAAAATGGATCTTATTTAGGGTTGAAAACCAGCCAGGCAGCTGGGGAAATGCCTTTGATCTCTGCACTGGGAAGGCAGAGGCAGGCAGATCTCTGTGAGTTCAAGGCCAGCCTGGTCTACAGAGAGAGTTCTAGCACAGCCAGGGCAGTTACACAGAGAATCCCTGTCTCAAAAAAAAAAAAAAAAAAACCCAAAAAACAAAAAACCAAACAACAACAAAAAAGGAAAACCAGCCAGGCATATTGTTGTATGCTGTTAATCCCAGGATTAGGGAGGCAGAGGCAGGAGGGTCTCTGAGTTCAAAGCCAGCCTGGTTTACATAGTGAGACCCTGTCTCAAAGAGAAAAACAAAATAAAAACAACTTCTTTACTCAGCATTGGTGGATATAGTACATGTACTTTTTGAGAAATAAGCTAATAAATCAAAAACTTGTTCTTGGGGCTGGGTAGTGGTGGCACATGCCTTTAATTCCAGCACTCAAGGTAGAGGCAGGGGATCTCTGAGTTCAAGGCCAGTGTGGTCTACAGAGCTAGTTCCAGGACAGTCAAGGCAACACAGAGAAACCCTGCCTTGAGAAACCAAACCAATCAAACAAAAAACTTGTTCTTGGTGATGTCACAATCTAAACTATTGCAATAGAACTTTTAGAATGAAAAGAACATTTAGAATGAAAAGGCGTAGAACACTTTTATGCTAGATATATGTAGCAAACCAGTTTTTTTGTTTGTTTTTCGAGACAGGGTTTCTCTATGTAGTTTTGGTGCCTGTCCTGGAACTTGCTTTGTAGACCAGGCTAGCCTCAAACTCACTGAGACCCACCTGCCTCTGCCTCCCAAGTGCTGGGATTAAAGGTGTGTGCCACCACTAGCCGGTGCAAACCAGTTTTATATAATTACTACTGTCTGTGTAGGAAAATATATTCAATACTAGGAGTGAGCATTTAAATAATTCTAGGTCAACAAGATGACTCATTAGATACAGGACTTGCTATGCAAGCCTGGCCACCTGGAAGGAGAAAACAGACTCCTCAAAGTCGTCCTTTGACCTCCATCATTGGTCTTACTCTATGCCTCACAGTGAGGTATCTTATACTTCAGGTGTGTGTACACTGAGTTACAAAGAATCTTCTTTTTGTTTTGTTGTTTGAGACAGGGTCTCATTACTCTGGCTGTCCTGGAACTCACTATGTAGACCAGGCTGGCCTCAAACTCACAGAAATCTGCCTCTGCCTCCTGAGTGCTGGTATTAGTTCTTATGTTAAGGCTTAGAATCTATTTCTTATTGTGAATTGAAGTTCATGGTATCGGGAGAGCACCCTGCAGAGGATAATGTTGGATGAGCAGCATGCTTACAGGACAGCTGGCTCAAGGACAGACTGAGTGAACTCTCTGGGATAAACTGTAGATACTGAATACAGACTGAGTGAAATCTCTGGGATAAACTGTAGATACTGAATACAGACTGAGTGAACTCTCTGGGATAAACTGTAGATACTGAATACAGGTGTGGAGCTCACTTTGCAGGACAATTGGAGCTGGGATAGAGAATGATGCAACAAAAATTGTTTCAGAAACATTAGTTGCCCCATTGTAAGAGGGCAGAAAAGTCATGTAAGTGCTACTAAGTCCAAAATATGAGATTCCAATCAAAATCGGGAAGGAATGTCGGAGGTAAAACATGGTGTCAAGGAAATATTGCAGTATTTTAGAGCTAGAAGACTTTGTTTCTTCTTTCTCTTCTACTTTTCTTCTTCTTCTTTTTTTTTTTCCAGACGGTCTCACTATGTAGCTCTGGCTGGCTTGGAACTCATTAAGTACATTAGGCTGACCTTGAACTCAGAGATCCGCTTGGCTCTGGAGTGCCACCACCACCAGTAAAAAGTGCTAGCTGGCCTGCAGCTGGTTATGTAGACCATGTTGACGTCAAACAGCCCGCCTCTGCCTGTGCACCTCCACACCTGGCTTAGAACTAGGAGGGACTTTTGGGATGCACATTCCATCACCACTTGGTACATCTTTGGAAAGGACTGGAATTCTGAGCTAATACCAGCCTGTTAAAAAAAGTCAATGGCGTCACTTTGACTCAGCTCCTCAGCATCTAATACAGCTAAGGCAATTAACAGGCTTGGGTTTCCTAGAGGATGTGGAAAGCGAGCCTTCAAATTCACTTTCTACTAAATAGATTCAAAGAGCCAGTAATTCTCATCCTTTAAAACCTGAATTCCAATTCGGTTCCCACGGGTACGCCAACGGAGCCTAACCCACGCTCCTTCCCACTCAAAAATGGGCCATCCAACGTTTTGTTTTGTTTTGTTTCCCCCTGAGAGCGAGTCTCCTAAAATAACAAAACCTGCTAAGACGTTCAAGTCTTCAAGAACTGTGCGTTTGCCAGTCCAATTTCCCAACTGCGGCGCGTCACGGAGCGTCTCAGCGCCATGCGCCCAGCGGCTGGGGAGAAGTGGAGGAGGCAGCGCAGTGGGAGGCAGCGTGGCGCTTTCGGGAGGGGTCTGGGGCGAGTCTAGTCTTCGCCTCTCCACCCTGGGCACCTCCGACGACTGGGCACCGGGCTGGCAGGCCCGGCGGCCCGGCCGCGAGTCCCTCACCCCTCTCCAGGGTCCACCTGGAATCCTCAGCTGACAACCTTAGCCCGGCCCCCCGCCACCGGCGCCGAGAGCCAGAGGCTGACGACGGGCGGGACGCGGCGCCATGTCTGGGTCGTTCCCAGGCACATCGCAACGCTCACCCTGAGGGATCCGCGAGCGCGCCTCGGTTTCCGGACGAGAAGAGGAAATTACTCCGGGAACCCCAAACCCCTCCTTCTGAGCCGAAGCACAGACAGCGTCTGCGTTGCCACGGAGACGGGGCTGTCTGTGACGTCACTTCCGGCGGGCTGTCTGGACCCCAGACTGTTGGGAGGAAAACTGAGCAACAGCCACGACTGTGGACGCGAGCGTCTCCGGTGTGCGCATGCGCCCGCTCAGCGGCCTGCTTCTATTTATGTGGGGGACCCAACATGGCGGCTGCGGCGACCCTGGCGATGGCGGTGGAGCCCATCAGAACGTAGTAGCGGGGACAGGGACCCGGTCCGCACTCACGGTGGCGTCCGCGGAGACGGCTGAGGGTGCTGGAGGGAAGAAAAGCGACGGAGAGCGGAAGGAAAGGCGGGCAGGCACGCCGTACGGCGTCGAGGCGAGAGCCGGCTCGAGCGAGCGCCGAGGGCCAGAACAGTGGGGATGGCGGAGCCGCGCAGAGTCGCGTTCATTAGCCTGTCACCGGTGAGGCGGCGCGAGGCCGACTTGGCGGGCGCCGAGCGCGAGCCCCCCCGGCTGGAGCCGCAGCCG